GGTTCTGCCACGGCCACGCGGGTATTTACAACATCGTCCCGTTGACATAACTCACTGAATAGAAGCTAATGTGCTATGGCCCAGCCGGCTCAGTGGTTGAGCGTCGACCTATGAACCACGAGGCCGATCAGGGCACAGGCCCGGGTTGTGGGCTAGATCCCTGGTGTGGGGCGTGCAGGAGGCAGCCGGTCAGTGATTCTCTCTCATCATTGATGCCTCTCTCTCTCTCTCTCTCTCTCTCTCTCTCCCTCTCCTGTCTTCTCTGAAATCAATTTAAAAAATCCTTCTTAGAAAGTTTATGTTGCTATGAAAAAGCCCCTAGATGTATTGCATTTGGAGCCCCGCCTGTGACCACCTTGGCAGGGCCAGACCCAGTGATTCCGAGGGCCGGACGCTCCCCACCCTGCACCCTCGGCTGCTGCGGGGAGCTGCCCAGCACTGGGTTCAAGGTTCAAACAGCATGAAATTGAGTGTCAGAGCCAGAGGGGACTCCCCCACCATCCCTGCCCTTGTGGGTCGGGGGCCAAGGCCCAGGCGATAACGAACTGCCCGCCCGCGTCCAACGGCTAATTTGGGGTCAGAAGTCAGGACTGGCGTGGATTTAGGCCTCTCGGGCCGAGGCCGGCTCTCTTCCAGCCGAGCTCGCAAATGTGCGGCTTCACTTTGACAAAACTGGCTTTTCTTTTTTATTATTATTTTTTAAATCCTCACCAGAGGATACTTTTTCTGTTGATTTCTAGAAAGTGGGAGGGAGGAGGGGGGGCAGAGAGAGAGGGAGAAACATCGATTCGAGAGACACATCAACTGGCTGCCTCCCGCACGTGGAACTTGGAACAGAGGTGCCCGCCCTTGACTGGGAATCGAACCCGGGACCCTTGGGTCTACAGTCCGACGCTCTAACCACTTAGCAACCAGCCGGGGCAAACTGGGCCAACCTGTCTTTTTTTTAAAAGCGCACACAGCTCAGGATAAATCGTCTCCGAGATGCTGATTTATCCTGAAAACCCCTCACCCCCGAGGTCAGCTATGTGCCCTCTGACCCCTGCCAGGTCAGAGCTCACGCGCGACCAAAGGAACTTTCTCAATAAGGC